CAGTGGTGACATATTTTCTCATAAAATACATACGATAATCATTGTTACTGAACGGTGGTACCTTAGATGTTGGAACTATGCTTACCTAAGTGTCTGGTAACCGATTATAGCAATGTTCATATAAAAATATTTATCATAATTTCTATTTAACGTCTAATTTTAGAAGCATATTTAGCTACACCTATTCTCTACCAGTCCGGTCGGATGGTGGGCGGTGTGAGGCGGCGGCGTTCGTTTAACGATATATGTGATATAGCAATGTTTTATGGATCAGTAGAGTAATGTTTAAAATATTGTATAAAATACATACGACAATCATTGTTACTGTACGGTGGTACCTTTGATATTGGAAATATGCTTACCTAAGCGTCTGGTAGCAGATGATAAAATTCTTAGGCATTACTTGTACATTTGATGTTGGAAACATGATCACCTAAGAGTCTGATAGCCGACAATAAAATTCTTAGAAATTATTTGTACATTTAATATTAATAACACACAGACAGCAACGCAATTGTTCTCATATAAAATAACAGACGCTTATGATCATTATATTACAATTATACCTTTGATGTCGGAAATATGCTTACCTAAGCGTCTGGTAGCCGATGATAAAATTCTTAGAAATTATGAAGCCATAACAACAAACGTTACCATTGTTCTCATAAAATTCATACGATAATGATTATTACTATATGACAACATCTTCAATATTAAAAAAATATGCTTACCTAAGCGTCTGGTAGTTGATGGTAAAATTCTTAGAAATGATTTGTACATTTAATAATACAAAGACAGCGTCCCATAAAATTACAGACGCTTATTAGCGATATAATATTATGATACCTTTGATGTCAGACATATGCTTACCTAAGCGTCTGCTAGTCGATGATTAAATTCTTAGAAAACGTTGGGTTTCATCCTCTCCCTCCCCCGCATTAGGTTAGTTTACATAAGGTTTCCCCCTCCCATTCCATTAGGTTAGTTTACGTTAGATTTAATCCCCCCGTACACTTCCTCCACCGCAAGGAAGGTGAGTGGGTGAGGCGGGGGGGGGGCAGCTCTCTCCAAATTACCCTACTTATATATAATAGTCATACTTTTGGATGACAATTTTTAATATTATTGTGATCTTCATTCATGAAAAGCCTTAAACGTGCCCAACTGAGTAGAGAACCGTAATTTTATTTATTGAGGTATAATAGTCTTATATTTTTAAATTAATGGTTGTAAACTTTATTGTGTTCTCCATTTATAGTCAACCTTACATGTGCTAATAGAGTGAAGAAGCGTTAATATTGTAATTAATATTAGTTAATATAGCAGTATTACTCTTTGTCCGTGTACCCGCCAGTCATAAGGCTTTCTGGCAACTTATAAGCAGTTGACGTGAAGGATATCAAGTAGTGTATTGTAATAATGTTCAGCATATATTTACAGAGTTAACTGTGTTCGCACCAGCCAAGGCTTAACGTTGAAAAACGCTGGGCCTCCAAGTTTTGTTGATCAAATTTTGAATATAGATAAACATATTTTTATAATTTTATTTTGACAATTGTAGAGTGAAGTTTAGGAATATCGATATCGACTATAGAGAATTTATAGAATATATTATTAATGATAACTTAGTATAAAATAAAAAGAGTTTTGGAAGTATAAAAAAAGATAATAAATCATAATAGGCGCAAGTCCCATTGGAGAGATTCTTTCTAAGTGTGTATTTTATGAACGACGTATATTGTCGAGGTAATAAAAGCGCGTATTGATGATTAAGATCTAATACACATATAAATCTAATAGACTTTCCCATTTTCATAATATTAACATTTTTATTTATTACAACAGTATTTGAAAGGTTAAGGTGCCAACACCTTGTAATACACCTCAAATACTAATTCTGTCTAACCTGCTGTGCTGTTGCATCTTATGCGCCTGCCGTCTAATTCACTTGACAATAGCGAATCAAACTCTTCCGCTGTCACAAAAGTTTAGAAGTGATACGCAAAATTAAAGTATATATTTTATCATTATTAATTAGTCGATAGTAAAGACTTATTGTCAAAAACGTACGACACAAAAATGAGATTAATAAAATTGTCTCATTAAAATTTTGGTAACAGTCAGTGGTGATTAATAAATTGTGTTAGGTAGAGAGTGGTAGTCACCGACATCCCGTCCTCGCACCTCATATAGTGTTCGCTTGTAACGATAAACATCAGTCATTTTTTATATTTTTTCCGAATTGTTTTTACACATTCTATTGTACACCCTTCACTTACGTATCGCGCCTCTATTAATTCCAAATCGTCCGATTATTGAACCATACTTTTATTGTTCACCATCGTTTTTTAATACACTTGATTCGCTTATTGTCTTGTCCGCTTTTGTCACGTATAATTCTAGTGGCCAATGGCTCCACTATTATTTACACAAATTTTTCTTCGCTAGCCCTTTTAATTAAATAGGGTCATGTTTTATAAATCTAAACGTGAATAATAATGAATAAGCCCATTTGTTATCAATTATCCTTACAAGGAATATGCTTTAATAATATGATATCAATGATTGAATCGCGCAAATTCATAATTGTTATCACTTTTAACTTGTCCAACCATCGAACACTTGTAGTAATATACGAAAATGTTTCTAACGTTTTGTTATAAAGATTTGCGATAATCGTTTCTGTAAAAAGCTCGTTGAAGCGTTACTATTTTTCATGAAAAGATAACACGTAATGTTTCCAGTAAAAAACGTAAAAAGATAACATATTTACTTACGTCCTTTAAGGTGGATTAACGTTTGATACCATAGAAAAATTGTAAAAAAATTTAACAAACTTCAAAATGTTCTAGAAACGTAACTACTGAATTCAAATAAGAGTTTTTAATATCGATATTTTTCTTTTAAACTTATACATAATACGGATATCTTCAAATCTAAAAAAAAATTTAATGAAAAAACTAATTTAGCAATATTTTTTGTAATTGTGAAAAATAACATAAAGCATATTTTAAATATAGTCATATATTGTAATAAATTGTTTAAAAAAAAGTATAATATGTTATGTAGTTTAGAAGTTATTTAAGTTAGATTTGTTTCACTCAGCATATTTCAATATTATGTATATTTAAATGTAAATGATATAAATCTTAATTTTTAGGGTTTTAAAATTTCTAGAAATTTTATTTTTTGAAATATTTAATTTCACTATTGAAAATTTGAAAAATCCATTTGTTAATTTACTCAATAAGATTTAATTAAAACTTTATTTAAAGCAAGTAATGTACCTATAAATATTTCACATATAATAAACTAGATAAGATTCGGTGATTCCAATATTAATGAAAATATCATAATAAAATTTTTAAGTACTAATAAATTAATATTTATTCAGTTTAAAAGTTAAAAATAATAATTTATTTTGAATTTAATTAATAACATAGGTCTACATGAAATTTTAATCTGAAATTAACACAATTGATTTCCAATTTATTTTCGTCCTAAATTTTGTTTTAGATTTTATTAATCAAGTTTTGTTATTTAGTCAACATAACAAAATATTTAGTTTCTTATATAGATTAACTATTTATATTTCTAATAAAAATAAAACACACAATCATAAAACTCTGATAAAATATTATATTAAATGTTTCAATTTTGAACTGTGAATGTAATCAACAAAATAACGTACAAAACGTCAACTTTTTACAAATTAATTACCATACACATAAATCAAGTTCAAGAGCTTGAAAAAAATCGTTTTAAATCGAAAATTTTAAAGCTATATTTGAAATAAGAATAAAAGATAGGTTTAGTTAAAAAAATAAGTTTGTAAAGTTTATCTTAACTCTGACGATTATTCACCAATTTCTAAACTTTCAATAGAGTAGGCATAATAAAATATTTTGGTCTCCATGGTAAAATCGCGTAATCGACATATTGAGGTTTTTTTCAACAAATATATACTTTGAATTTTAACATATTATAATCGTTTTTGGGATAAAAATAATGTATTCTTTGTTTTTTACAGAATAATTAAAACAAATGGAGATCCATGATTTTGCTATAAAAACAATTATATATTGATTAATTCAAATAACTATAAAAAAATCATAGAGATAAAAATTATATTTGACCTTTAGGAAGATTTAGTTGGTTATACCGATATTTTAGATTCCTCAAAATGTAAAATTTGTTGTTAATGCTTGTAACGTCACAAATTCGAAGGTGGACCGTTTATGATTTTTGTTATGTCTAATTATTTATTTTATCGCGCGAAAGAACCTTTTTCTGACACAGTGGTGTCAACCACTCATTATTTTGCCGCTGACCGCTAGATAAGGCGTTAAAAGAGAAATATAATTAAAATCGAATTGTTTATGAGTATTGATCCCTTCCAAAAAGACTGGCCGTTATCGATTTGAAATTGCCGTTAGATCGGTGTTGACTCTTCTCCATTCTTTCTTCTGTCATTGACCGTGCTAAAGTGCACACATTTATTGTTTTATTGACATTTTTATTTAATGATGGAGTAGAGCCGCCAACGGCGAACGGCCAGGTCTTTTCGACGAAGCATCCAGATCATCGGATGGATCTCTTCGGAGACCGGGTATCGTTTTCTTTTATATATTATATTTATGTTATAAGCTACATTTTATTAATTATTTTATTTCATTTTTTATTTTATCCTAAATTAACATAATTTTGTTTATGTTTGGAAAGCACATGTTTCCTTTTCTTTCTAGTCAACGCTAAAGAACTAGTGTCCAGACCGCTCCTGGTGTTTTTCATTAATTTCCAAATAACATTAACGGATGTGTTCCAATACCGTCCATGCCGTTTGTTATATTATTATTTTTTTTTTGTTTAAATATTTTATTTTATTTTTATTGCCTTTATTTATAGACATGGTTTTTGATACATTCGTATTTTTGTTCATGTTTAACTTAATTTTCTTTTTTAATACTTAAATTAAATTTCCTTATTAATTTTAACTGTAATATTTATTTTATTGAGCGAGTAACTTAAGAACTCGTGTGTATTTTACCCCTTTTTCTTAATCTAGACATGGGCTACGGTATGTTTTACATATCAACCACATACAACTTTGATTGTCATAATTGTGTTTAATATACCACGAGGTATTATAGTAATTTATACAAATAACGACATATTAACTTAGATTATACTTTTAATTAACTTAAAATTAAATTCCACCTATGGTCCAGTAATCATATCTGATAGGTGTGACACCTCGCCTAGGTGGTGACGACCCTTGCTACTATAGCTAGTCGATATGCAAGTGGCAAACTATGTTGTTGTTACAGGCCGAATTATAAAATAGCCCACTTGCATGCTTTAAAACTAAATAGGGCGAATGAAATATTAATAATTGGAAATCCTTACGTCCAACGGTAATTATTAAATAGTATAACAGTAAAAATAATTTAATTAACTTTTTTTTGAATAAAAATGTTATTATTGTTTAAAAAATAAACATTTTAAAAATAGTTGTATGCAGTTAGAGAGTGATTCTTATAATTTTTACTATCCTTATGTTTAACACTTCAGATAAACTGCGTGTTTATACTATTTATTCAGTTGGTATTTATATTTAATATGATGGATAGATAGTACTATTTCAGGTAATATTAAAAGATAATATTTCTGTAGATTGTAATGTGCCATGTAAAAAAAAAACTTATCATTTTATTATAATATAAGTAAGTTTTTAAAATTTCGTGCCATAAAAATGAAGCTTAAAAATTAAATGTGTTGTAGATAATATTTCAAGTAATTGTTAATTAATAATGAATATACTGTCGTAAATTAAAAATTTTTTTTATAATTTTGTATATAATAGTATATATTGTTAGATGGACAACCTATCTCTTTTTCAAATATTTTCACATTTATAACTGTTAACTCTATGTTAACATTATGATTTTTTTTAATATGCCTAGTAAAATAAAGCACTATTTTAAGATGAATAATAAAATGTTTAATCAAAACTAATATCTAATTTTATTTCACTTAAACAATGGTATAAAAACCTCATTCATTCTTAATCAGTGTAAATCCGGCAAATTGACAATTTTCTAGGACTGTGGCAATGTTGTCCTCGCAGTAAGTGTCATAAGCAAAAGTTTCAGGCCATCACTAAAAAAATGGTATTTTTTAGTTGAAACATTTTAAAAAGTTTCAAGTTTACAGATTTCTAGGGTCTTATAGCTTTTACTATTCTATTCTTATACGTAATGCAATCAGAACAGCAATCAGTTTGTATTATTTCAATTAATATATAAATTTTTATTTATAAATTATAAATTACATTTATACACATTCTAGTATATATTCTAGTATATATTAGTACTAAAAAATGATATGAAATCAATGACACAAAAATCATGCGGTATAATATTAAATATATCACAATCATCAATATTTCAAGTAATTGTTCATTAATGATCAATTTATTATCGTAAGTTAGACATTTTTTTTAGTAACATGATTAATAAATTAAATATGGTTAAATGAATTTTACTAATACGTCTATCATAATCGTCATTATATTGCGCAACGAATAAGGCAGCAACTCAAAAAATTCAACTCTAAGATTATGAAGTAATTGGATTTATGTTTTACTCTTCTTATAATAATTTTCATTAAATGTCGTAAATTTGGTTTGAATCAAAATTAAACTATTTAGAAAATTGATAAACATATAGAATGTAATCAGAGCATAAATTTTATTTTTGATCTCCTGAAAATTAATAATATTTATGCTACTTAGTTGTTTAGTTTGTTACGCATATCGATATAAAATGTTTTAACGCATTTTAGAAATATTTAATGAATTGTATGTAAAATATGTACCTTAATATTTTGGCGATTTATTTTTCAGACAATGTAAAAAAAAAAATCGACTTTTTAAACAATTGAAATTTTATCTATTGTTTTGAAAGATATTGTTGTTATTACAATATTCAGAATATGTTAATAATAATAAAGTCTTAAATTTTCATATTAATAATTGTTAATGATATTTAATTTGATTAAAAATTATTATACGAATTTTAATAGTTATAATTTTCAAATAGACCTAATAAGACAAGGCACTATTTCGAAATTAATGATAAATTTGTACAATAATAGCTAATAGTCAAATTCATTTCACATAAACCATTATATAAATAACTCGAATTATAACGAGCGTAAGTCAGATCACTTGGCAATTTTTGGAGGCTTTGCGGTAACGTAGGCTTTGTCAAAGAGTGATTAATAAAAACCCAGCACAGGGGGTCGGGGCACAGTAGTGACGTGGCATAGTTGAATCAAGTATAATGATATCTGTCAGTGATTAAAATCACTATAAAAAAAAAGCTTCATCATTACTAGATTGCGATCGCTATCTATATCCGCTCCTGGGTAACTTCTACTTTCCTTTACTTGATTTTTAAATCTGTTCTTAACCATGATATAATCTATTTGGTATCTATTTATGTCTCCTGGCATTTTCCACGTGTATCTTCTTCTTCGATGGCGATCGAAGCAAGTGTTTGTGATTATTAAGTTATGTTTTGCACAAAATTCTAATAAGCGTTCTCCTCTTACATTTCGCGTTCCCAACCCAAAGGCACCCGTTACATTATTTACTTTTTCTTCCCCTACAACGGCATTCGAATCACCCATTACTACCAGATTCTCTTCCCCTTTAACATTTTCGATTATTTTATCTATATTTTCGTATACTTCTTCTACCTCTTCATCGTTACTATTTAATGTCGGCATATAGACTTGAACTACTATTGTATCTTTTGGTTTCGTCTGGAGCTTGACTAGAATGATTCTATCGTCATATTGTATATAGCCTTTAACTTTTTTTCCTAGGGTTTTATTCATTATAATCCCTACTCCTCCTGTGCCAGGTTTCTTCTCTGATGCTCCTGTATATATTATTCTATGGTCTCCGCTCCAAAAGTCTCCTGACTTTGGAAATGATCTCATTTCTGATATTCCAAGAATATCGATTTTCATCTTGTCCATTTATATTTTCAGATTCTCCAATTTTTCCCACATTGTAATGAAGTCCTTACATTCCAAGTTGCTATTCGTTTATATTCCTTCACATCCTTAACACTTCTTACCTCTCTTGTAGTCCCTACCCGGTGATCCGAACGGGGGACTATTTTACCTCCGGAATTTTATACTTGAGAAGAAGACATGTTGATTGCTGTTACTTAGGATATTAATACGGTGGTTTCCCGTTGCCTTCCGTATCGCAGTGCAGCTATCAGTTATACAGTTTCCCGTATCTGGGTGGCGTGTAGCTGATGAACCTACACCCAATATTGTAGTAGCTGCCTCCCTACTACAAGTCCCTTTTAGTCGCCTTTTACGACAGGCAGGAACAACCGATGGTCTATTCTAACCCCGACCAACAGGGGAAAATATATATTAGTATAATAATTTAAATATATACTGGTTTGAAAAAGTTACCTAGATATATAAACAAAAAATCTAAATATTGATTGAAAAACTTTAATTACAGGTAACAGAATTGAGAGTAACCTTTAGATAATTTTGTAAATCACTCTAAGTATTAAAATTAAAAATATTAGAGTTTTTGTTAACAGTTTGTTGATATTGGTTGAGTTTTGGTTAACATTTTGTTGATATTGGTTGAGTTTTTGTTAGTTAGAAAATTAAGTATTCATATTTAAGAATTAAAAAATGGAATCTCAAAAAAGTGCCAAGAACATACGGTTTAATCCTTATACAATGGCTAAAACAAATAAGGGTAATTACACAAATGAATATATACTTAAATAATATATAATTTTAGATGAAAAATTGATTACAATATAAATAATAATGTTTTCCAGATTGTTCGAGCTTTTTAAACAGTCGTATACCTAATACATGGGGTTGGACAGAAAATCGAAAATGTGAATTTGTACCAAAAGCGAAAAAAAATAATCGTAACACTAATAATGAATTAGTGGTTAAAATTGCTTCTATAAAAAAAGAATTGAATATTTTACTGGCGGAGGAAAATTACAGTGCTTTTTCTATTGACTGTCTTAAAACACAGATCAAGGCGCTACGAATTGAATGAGTTTTTTACATTTATAATATTATGTCATATAATACTATAACAGTTAACTGCATTAGTATTAATGATGTTTATTCATCAACATTTATGGTTTATATCATACTTTTAATATAATATCATGGTATTATAAGTATAAAAATAATATAAATAATGCAATTAAAAACAATTATCATCATAACAAAAATTTGTTTATGCTATAAAAAAATTATTTTCAATCATTATATTATATAACATAAGTATAAGTTATTTATTTAGTTAAATTAAATAAGTTTACATTTTTGTGTGGTAATATTGTGAAATATTTAATAATTTGTAAATATATTTTGTATTATAATTTCAAAATTTTTGTATTTATTTGATTGAGATAATTGATTAGGAAAAAAGATTGGTGCTTAAATTTCGAAACTGCATTAATTCACTAAAATTGGTATTTGTGTAGAGACCAAATTTCATATTTAGTACATTAATATTTCTATTTCTCCTGTTAATTTACTTTTGTCATTTACCACTTTTTCATAAACAAAACCTCGGTTATTTTTCATTTTTTATTTCACTGCTGTAGTTTAAAATGAATTGTAAATAGGAATACAAAAGGCCCAGAGGGGTATTACATTTTTGATAAACTTACTTACTTGTTAGATCATTCGCTATTGAATATAATAAAAAGTATTAATAAAATGTGATCGTTGATGCGTTTGTTAAAAGTTTTCAATTAGTGACCTTAATTGCACTAAAGTTTTCACCATGAAGATAAAATAAAGTCCGAAATTTTTTTTTTGCATAATAAAGTAAATTACATTAGCTTTAATTTAAGATATATATAAAAGTGTTAGTATTTCCGGAACACTTTCAAAAATTAAGTTGAAAAAGTTCTACTTTCTATATGAATTTTTAAGTTTTGAACCCCTCCTGTATTAAGGAAAATGGTCCGATTTAAAAAAAAAATATGTCGAATGAAAGAGGCATATACGTATGTGCAATAAGTTACTTTATTTTGTTTTATCATTTTATGATTTTATATATAGAATCATATGAAGGTTTCATTTAAAATTAAGTGATAACTGAAAACAGAAAATTTGACTATTTATGATTACTGTTAACGAAGTGATTTCAAAATTTTACAATTTATCAAAATTTATTGAGGAAAAAATATTTTTCCTATCAGATAAAATTTTATTTCTACGGCTGGAATTTGGACTTTTACAGGTTCCTAGAGATTACATTTAAATGACCCGGTGCAGTTCAACCTGTCCTGATTTGTACTGATAACTTAGACTGGAGCTAATGTCCAAGTTTCCTTACCCTCCCAAATAATGGTACTGTTTGTTGATTACCGTAGTATATCAATCTTTTAGATTAAAGCTTAAGAAGAATAAGGCTTGTTATATACGATTAGAAAAAAGAAAAAGCGTTCGAATATTAATTATAATTGTCCTATATAAGTAAATTAAAATTTAGGTTTTTTATCTTTGAAGTGATGAAAAAATTAATAATTATCAACATAATATTGAAGGGACTCTTTAACTAAATAGTTTTTATCTTTACAAAAACTAAAAATTACTGATAATTTAAGTGGTGTTTTACCTAAAATTAATAATTTTCATATATGGTGTCATAATCACGTTGTGATTGAGAAATTTCATATATAACAGTGACCGTTTTTTATCACTCAATTTGGTCAAAAACGTAAAATGTTTAGTAGTGTTAACATATCAGAATAAATGCGATGTGTATTTGACGTAGATTATGTGATATTAAGAAATAAGAATTTTTGATGAATTTAATTGAAAATAAATTTATTTTAGTATATATGATTCTTATTATGAATTTTGTTAAAATTAAATTTATTTTAGTATATATGAATCATCTTTCTATAACAAATTAAATTAAAAAAATGACATGTAAATGTTTCTTTATCATTGCCGTTTATTGAACATTATATGCTTTCATAAAACGTTTAACTGTAATGCTTTAATTATTATTTAATTAAATATCCAGTTTATTGCATTGAAAGTATTTCTATATATCCCCACCTTTGTTTATTGACCAATTTTTGTACTAGTCTTAAGATACTAATTCGTTTTGATTATTTATATATCATTATTAAGAGTAGGGAAGAATTAGAATGTTCGAATTATGTAATTTTCATGAATTATTTAGTGATTGTTTTGTAGTTTAAATTTGTTATGAATAACACGTCTTAATTTAATTATAATCTTATCTCTTTTATAAATTTATGTTAAGTGGAAATATTTTAGAAATAATTTAGTGTTTACAAATCTTAAAAATGTGGTTGAATAAGTTTTATAATGATAGAAATAAAGATTTGTATCCAAATCCTGGAAACATTACTTTTCAGTACGGAACTTCTGGTATACGATGCAAGTGAGTATTAGTTGCATTAAAAAATAAATTAATGTGTAGTATAGTTTACTTAATTTTATTGTATTATTATTTATTAGATCTGATTATCTAGATCATGTAGTGCATAGAATGAGTTTATTAGTTGCTTTACGATCAATGTGTTTAAAGTCAGCCCGAGTTGGGTTGATGATTACAGCCTCCCATAATCCACAAGATGATAATGGAGTTAAATTGATTGACCCGCAAGGGGAAATGCTTGAAAGTACATGGGAAGAATATGCAACAGAATTGTCAAATGCTTTAAATAATGATAATGTATGCAATATTTTAAGTAAAATAGTACTTAAGTATAATATTGATTCTGGTTATAAACCTAAAGTCTATGTCGGACGAGACACTAGGTAATTTCAAAGTACGTCATATAGTATTTTATTACAATAAAATGTTGAAAATATTTTGTAGAAACTCGGGAGAGCGATTGCTTAAAGCAGTAATTTTAGGTTTAAAAATATTTAAAAGTGATTATGAAGATTTTGGAGTTATAACAACTCCAATGTTACATTATTTTGTTAGGTGCTATAACACAAATGGTTTGTATGGACAGCCAAATGAAAATTCATACTTTACAAAATTAACTAATTCTTTTAAGAAAATGCGAAAAATGGTAAATATATAAAAGTCTATTATTTAAAATAAGTATAAAAATATACTTAAATTAAACAATATTTCTACTTAGTGTTCTGACTATAAAAATTATAGTCCTATCATAGAGTTTGATGGTGCCAATGGAGTTGGTGCTTTAAAATTAAAAGATGCAATGAAGTATTTAGATGACTCATTGATTATTAATTTACACAACAATGATGTGATGAACTCGAGAAAATTAAATTTGAATGTATGTATTTTTCATTTACAATTAGAAATAAAATACAATTTTAAACATGTCTTGAATAAAAGGACAATAATTTATAAAAGACAATGTATGTAAAGGGGAGGTTTGAAATACAAACCTTTCTATTAAAAAAGCAATGTATTTAACAATAGTCTATTTTATTATTTAATAGCCACAAAAAGAGATTTTAAACTTAAAGAAAGTTGTTTCATTTTATAAAAAAAAAAATAGATTTGTAGTTCTACAAATAAACTGAAATTAATTATTGGAGTAAAAGAAGAAAAAAAATTTTATTTACTACAAAAAACACACTCTTATTTGAAAATAATAATTATCCTAATGTTTTAGTTTTACCATGATTTTTTTTTTGTGTCTGTCCATGAAAATTAAAAAAAAAAAAAAATCAAGTTCTCACTTGACTGATTTTGTTGATATATGAGTTTAAAAAATGCAAATTAACTGTCACAAATGTAAAATTCTTTCTTCTATTCAATTTTTGAAAATGGTCTCCGCAACGTCTATCAACTTTTAAGTTATATCTACTTAGAGTTCTTGAAGTGCACTATAGTATTAAAAAAAAAATCTAGCCCATGATTATTTTACTATAAGAAATCAGCTGTTAAAGTAGAAAAAGTTTTTTTACATAATGTTTTCTAGTTACCTTCTAATGGCTTATTATAAATTATAGTTTAAAATTTATTACTGAAAATTTAATTAGCTAATGAGGGGTTGAATAATAGAGTTTTCTTTTCTTTTTTTAATTAATAATTTCATACCAATAATTTTTGATTTTTCAAAAAAAAAAATGTTATATTTATATGCATCTGCTATACCATAATTATGGTCTAATATAATAAGTTTAGAAGTAAACAATTATCTTATTTTCCATATCTATGGACCCTGCAAAGCCTGTCTTTCTAAATAATGCTACTTTTGATTTTGGTTAGAAATAGATGCAGTAGAATCCATTTTACATTGATAAAAATTCAATATCATATTATATTAATAGATTTGGAAGCTAGGATTGTATGTATTATTTTTATTTGTGACACAAAAAATCTTTGAAGTACAATGGCATCTCCTGTCCCCCTGCGAGTTTTCCTAGTCAGATATCATTTATACTTGTATCAACTATGTCACATCTTCACTGTACTAGGTTTTTTTTTAAATTTTTATATGCTAGGAAAAAGTCTGTAAAGACTATTACTAATCACTTAGAAAAAATATAAACATGTGATTATTTCTAGGAGCTTGTTTATATTTTCTAAATTTTAGTTAAATCAAAGTACTGTTATTTTTTTATATTAAGTCTGTTGAATATTTTCTCTATAAGTTAATAATATTTTGGTTTTAATTGAAATATTTAGTGTGGTGCAGACTATGTAAAATCAAATCAATGTCCTCCAACTGGTTTGTCTATAATACCAAATACTAAGTATGTATCAGTTGATGGTGATGCTGATAGAATAATTTATTTTTTCATTGATGAAACCAATACTTTTTATTTATTGGATGGGGATCGTATTGCTACTTTAGGTAAATATTTAGTTATATCAAATGCAATTATAAATATAATAAGTCAAATTTTTATTTAGTTAAATAAAATAATCTAATAATAAAAAGTTAAACATTTTTAGTGGCTGGTTACCTTAAAGAACTAATTATGGCTTCTGGTCTTAATATTAACATAGGATTAGTTCAAACTGCTTATTCAAATGGAAATTCAACAAATTATATTTCTAATGAATTGGTATGTTTTATTTTTTTTATTGTTTTATTTAATATTAATTAAAATGTATTTTATTTATTAAAGACTTTTTTTTTATTTAATTATAAAATATATCACTTATATTTATTAGAAAGTTCCTGTTGCATGTGTTCCTACTGGTGTTAAATATCTTCATCACACAGCAAAAGATTATGATATAGGTGTTTATTTTGAAGCTAATGGACATGGTACATTAGTCTTTAAAGAATCAGTTGGAATTTTAATTAGAGAAGAATTATTAAAACAAAAGAATGAGTATGGTTGTTTTCATTTTTTCTTTTTTTTTTTTTGTAAAATCTTACAATTTTATAAGTTAGTTTTATTTAGACATTTTCAGTTATAAATACAGGTTGATTATTTTAACATTATCCACTTATTTCTCTTAAATTAATAATGTTTCTGTCAATTTTTTTTTGGTTTTTTTAGTTATGTATGTTATTAATAATATTTTTCATGTTTATTCCTTATGTATTATAGAGGTATCAACTTTATTTTTTTTTTATGGTATTATACATCTTTAAGTAATTTATAAAATAGAAAATAATCTAATTGAGAAAATGATTGGTCAATTACAACTTTTGGTCTAATACTTTGGAAGTTAGTAGCATTTTAAAATATAGACTGATGATGAAGCTAGGATGTTGCTCTTTTTAGTATTACTTATTTTTTTGTTACTCTCTTCCTCCTGCCTAGGTGCAAAATTGTGAATATCTTTCAAAGCATTTCCAAAAGTTGTTATTGACCAATCGTTTTCTTAATTAGATTAAAAAAGAAAAATTTTTCAAAAAAAATGTGTTTTTATTTGTTAGTCCGGGATTTTTTTGAACAATCTGTTACATAAAGAATGAATATAAAAATATTATTTTAAGAGAAATTGAATGGCTAGAATCAAATTGTATTATATTAATATACTTTGAAATACTGTTATAGTATGTAATGAGGTCTATAGCTATAGAAAATAATTTGTATTTATTATTTAAAATATTATCCCTATCCATTTAGATTTGGTTTAAACACTTTCTATTTTAACTATGACCATAAAACAACAAAGGGGTGTCATGTTTCTCTACTTGGCAAAATTTATTTGTTTTAGTTGATAATTTTTTAATATAAAAGGATGCTACCAAAAAATTATTTTTAAAAGAGGATCACACGATTTAAAAAAAATTATTCAATTTACAAAAGTAAATTTTTCACCCCCTATGTTTTTATCATTGAGATGCCCCTGCTTATAAATGATTTCTGAATTATTAAAATGTGTTTATTTTTTTATGTTAAATGTAGGGAAAAATTGTTAGTTTTAAACAAATTGAAATGGATTATGGATATGACAAATGAAACTGTTGGAGATGCATACTCAGATATGTTAATTGTTGAAACTGTACTGTGTGATCGAGGTTGGAATTTAAAGGATTGGTGTAATACATACAAAGATTTACCAAATCGTCTCACGAAAGTAACTGTAAAAGTAAGTATTTGTAGATTTTCTGACTTTGATTTTTTAATTAATATTTTGTAAAAGTAAAAAAATACATATTTTTAGGATAGAAGTATATTTTCTATAACAAATGCTGAACGAATTTGTATAAAGCCTTTAGGTCTTCAAGACAAAATTAACCTAGCGGTAGCTAATTACCCAATGGCCAGATCATTTGTCAGGTAATTTGTGTAATATGTAATAATTATGTATATAATTATAAAATTATTTTATAATTTAATATTTTATGAGCTTCATATGAATATACATATGAAAAATTTTAAATTATGCAATTAATACACTCAAGAGCACTTAAACTTGTATGACCTTGTGCATTTTATAGAAATAAAGCTAAATCTTATCAATGAAATACTGTTTTATAGAGGGATTCAATTTTGTATTCCCAACAAAATTTAGAAAATTTAGTCCCTATGATAATTATTTAATTTTATAGTGATTTTTATAACCTAAAAATACTTTTTGACCTTTGTGCTAATAATTTTTTTTTAATTTTGCAAGAAAAAAAAATGGATTTCAAAAAAATGTTTGAAAAAATGACTAACCATATAAACATTTGCTATTTGAGAATTTTTTTATATTATCATATTTTCTATTTAATGTCCTAATAAAAGGTATAAAAAATTGATATTTCTACGTCAACATTTTATCGTAATATTTTTTATAAAAGTATAATTATAAAAAAGTATATATTTTCATATGAAAATTCCGATAAAAACACAATGAAAATAATCTCTTACATTTACAGTTTTCATTTGCCTTAAAATACATCTCAAAAATGATAATATATTATTGTATGTTATATAACTCTTAAAACTAATGGGATTTTTTTGTCTATTAATATAGGCCATCAGGTACGGAAGATGTTGTTAGAATTTATGCTGAAGCAGATACTCAAGCTAATGCTGATAGACTTGCTACTGAAGTTGCTTCTATTGTATATAATATAGCTGGGGGTGTAGGAGAATTGCCCCTGTTATAAAATATTTTAATAAATATTCATAAATAAACTCATTTTATGGAACATTATTTATTAATTATGACATATTTTCAGGGTTGTAAGATTTATTAACTATTTTATGTTACAAATGTTATGTTATGTATTTTTTAAAATGGTAATTCATTGTTTATGTTTTTTATTTTATTATTTTATACATACATTTTATATAATATAATATATTAATCATGTTTTTAATAGTGAAGCTCAAAATAAAATGTAAATATTAATTTTTAATACATTTCACCAATATTTGTAAAATAAAATTTTATTCAATTTTTTTATCTTATCTTTTTTTATATCATTATTAATATTAAGGCTCTAAATGATATACAATTTAATTGTGTTAAGATTGAAATTTTGTGACTCATAATTACTCTCATTAAATCAACATAATGAGGTAAATAATACTACTTAGTTTTAGGATTAAATGCTACGTCAAAGCACAATTTTAACTAAATATTTAGGTATTAAAGTATTTTTGTTGCTTAAGTTATGAGTTAGTGTTTAAAAAAAGTAAGTTTTAAAGTAAAGTTGTAAGTTTTACAATGATTTTTGTACACAATAAATAGGTTTATTCAAATAATTTCCAACAAAATAAATGTTTACAAAACAATGGTGTTTGATAGTTATACTTATAGGTAATAATATACATAACATTTCATATTTACATATTTATAATTTTTTGTTGAAAATACTACTGATTAATATACCTATTCTATTCATAAAATGTAACAGTTTTTTTTTATTAATCAAATTGACATAATACCGATTAATTGGTTTCTAATATTTAGTATTTTACTTTTAAATTATTTTCTTTAGTAACAATGTATTTATATATTAGTCAATTTTTTATAATCGAATTAAATGGCGCTCGCGGAATAAAAACTATAACGGGATAAGAATTAGTTTTTCAACTTAGAATATTTTTAATATTTAATAATTAAAAATTTTTTTTTTTTTGTTCATTAATATCTTTAAAATTATGCACAGATAATAAACAATAATTTTGTGGAGATAATCATTGGTTTTAGCTACTAGCTAGAAAAGAGTCGGATTAAGGCAAATAAAAACTGTGTAAATCACTCCAAGGGCATTTTTACATTTTATGCATTTAAAACTTTTATAATGCAAAGAAAATAAGGTCATCAAAATTAAAAAAAAAGACTTGTGATTAATCTCGGAGTAGGCATTATAAGAATAGTAGCTAACCCCTAGTTTAAAACCACAGGATTTTGGTAGTAAAAGCAACAATTCTTATCGGAACCCTCAACAAATTTCCTTGTCGAAAGTTGAGCAATACCTTGTAAATTTGCGTAAAAAAATTTGAATCTGAAAAACAGATGTTTGTCTCATAACTATTGAATATATAATATAGTGTTCAAATTGAAGTATTGCAGGGAACGGATATGCTCTATTTTTCCGTTTCTCCTTATTGCGCATCCTGCTTTTGTTTCTACTACTTAGTAGAGCTCTTTTACTTTAACTTGCCCAATTCGATTATTGATAATATACGTAAAAAATCAGCAGTGTATAGAATGTTACTGTGAATGATTGTTAACCATATTCTGTTATAATTTTTCTAGGTTTATTGAAGACTTAACATTTTTATTTGTAAAAAAAACTAATAAAGTTTAGAGGAGTTTTGAATTTTTTATTTTCTGATAAGATCTATTTTGATTTTCAAATATAAAATCTATTTTAAATCATATTTTCATTAGAATAAAGTAATTATTATTGTTACATTGCACTATGGTTTGATTTATTAAAGTAACTATAGCATCTTTAGCTCTTTTCTTGCGTTCACTGCTGTATAAAATATATAACTATTTAATTAATATATACGTATATATATATATATATTTATATATGTATGTATGGTATGTATATATATTTATGGCGTAGCTTAAAGAATTTGTCCTGTGGAGAATATAACCCCATACCCTGTTTATAATTTTGAATATTAAACCTGACAGATAGCTTCTCTGCTATAATGCTTTATCTCTTTCCTCTCCCTCCTCAAAAATTCAATTTATTTGTGGGGGCTACGAAAGTTTCTAAGGGTTTGAAGCCCCCATAAAAACTGTATATATATATTTATATTTATATGCAAATGTATAAATTTTTGACTTTGTACCAAAACTAAAATGCATATTTATTTATTTAGATTTTGCCATCGAATTAATTAACATATTATATTTATTTAGTAGTTCGTTTTTTACAATAAATTTAGAATTTCAATGTAAAAAATTTCTTCCAACGTAAATGACAAAATTAATTATATGTCTAACCGATTTTTTCAAATTTAATATATAATAGTAATGCGGTTATTTTAGACATAACTCATAGCCGTCGAGTCACTTTCTTTTGGACAACACGATTGACAGCATGGGAATACGCACTGTAGTGTATTCTTAAACGCTTCCCTGAAGTCTCTATTGAAATATGCGTAAATCAATGGATTCAGTGATGAATTGAAGTAACCGATCCAAAACAACACTGTTACTACTGCTTCTGGAAAGCTACAGGGTTTTCCACATAACGTTGATATCACATACCTGAAAATTTTATTACATAATTTTTTATTATTCTTGAAAATAAAAATTATGAATAATTTATATTGAAAAATTTAGAGACATTATATCAAATTTGAGATAAAGACTTAATTGTAGTTAGTTTTTCTAATGAGTGGTATTTTGAATTTATTTTTTGAATAGCTCTTAAAAAAATTACTTTAATGGCTGAGATAATGATTAGGTATGTGTCGAATGTTTGGAATTTATTTGGTGTTCAAACAATATTTCGTGGGTAATTTATAATCGACTATTCAGCATCTCTTATAACTATTTGGTCATGTTTAAAATTATAATATTTGACCAAATTAAGTTAAATTATTCCATCAATATAAAATTTGAATTTACCTGATATAGCAATATGTGGTTAACCATAAATAACTACAGATTAAAAAATTAAGGACATGTTGTAAATATGTAATCATGATACGAATAATCAAAATTATATATTTTATAAACATATAAATGTAATCATTTTAGCCATTTGTTTTTTATAACTGACCAATGCGCACTACACTCCTATGGTCATTGGCGCAGCTAGAATATCATAATTCTTTTACTATGGCTAAGGGAGACCATAGTAAAAATTTATATAAAAAATTCCATATTTTAGACCTTTTTATTTTGATCATCACTTTATTTCAAAAATAAATATTACTGTAAATGGGGGACAGGTCTCTTCCTCTCTTGACTATGCCACCATATGCGATCTATGAGTTATACATTATTATTGTTATTTGTGTTATACTAGTTAAAAATATATATAGTGAATATTATAATATTTCAAAAGTGTTCACTATGTCGACACATTAAATAACTATTTTCATTGTGTGTGCTAAGATAGTATTTTAAATATTGTTTTGTGTTTTCGTTTCTGTTTTGTCCTAAATAGGCAATATAATTTTTTTGTATTGCTAGTAATATGATGATAGTAATATGTAATATGATAACTTACAGTTATCATTCTATCAAAAGTTCCTAAATAGTCAGTTATTTTGACCATTAATTCACATTCTGTTTTTTTAACAGTCAATTTTACTACATAACTGTATTTTTAATAGTCAATAATGTGTTTGTGAATACTTTGTTCTGTGTATTTTATAATTATTGAAAATATTTTATAGTAAAAAGATAGATTATTATTATTGGTATTTTGTATATTTATATCTGAATTGTTATCGATAAGAGAAGTTTATATTTATACATTTTTTATTATTGTTAATTTTAGTTATTTAGTATGCCAAAGGGACTATTGTTGCATTAATTTAGGTCTATTATTATTTCGTGTGTCTTTCGTATATTCGTCGTTATAGGATCAGAGGAACGTTTTAACCAAACATTTTAAAAGTTTATTTAAACTAAATTATATGATTTCTTTTGTAGAATTGATTGTTATTATAGTAGAACTCTTAGAGTTAGAATTTATAATTTTAGTTAAAATGCTTCTAAAGTTTTAAAAGGTTTTAAAAAAAATTTTTAACAAATATAATTTAATTATTTGATAAATAGATTTAATTTGCAGTTGAATAATTTTATTATTTGATTATTATTGTCTTATATTTAAAATTTACATTCGATGATAACATTATTTTGTTTCTATCATTTATATTTATTTATTAAACACTGCTATCATTTGTTACCAGACCATCTCACTCTCTCGATTAGCGTAGGCGAACCCTCGTTATTCGGGATTCTTGTGTTTTGATCAGACGATCAAAATCCTTTCCTTTCTCCTATATTATAGTCCACTTTCTACTTAAAGTTACAGACGCCGGTGTAAATGACATATAGTTTGTAGTCCACCGCATAAACACAATTAAGAACATAAGCAAGACATTAAAAAAGATAAAATAAAAAAAATATATAAAGTAAGAGTAAAGATGATAAGATAGGAACTAATGTTGTCATACATACAAGGAATTATGTATAAAAAAATTATTACGTTCAAAAATTATTAATACTGTATTCATGTCGCAAGTCTTATTGGACAAAAAGGAAGAGCAATGGCAACAGGAATAAAAAAATATGAAGACGTAGACTAGCAAAAGGTGAAATAATCATCAGTAGACCAACACGTCAAAAACAACGAAAAATTTGACAAGGACAAAATCTTAAATTAAGAAGATTTGGTAAATGAATGTATATAGTGCATTATTATTTCCATATATATATTATAATGAGAAGTAATAGAAATTGAAAAATATCCAGAAAATTATAACAGAAAACGGATGGACTAGCAAGATTTGGATTCATATTATATATCAAATAATAAAAAAACAACACAATTTGTAAAAAAGCCTAATTGAAAATTATCGGTGTAAAAAATTAAGAGCAAATGTCAAGAATGTCGAAAAAAACAACAAAAACTAAACAACATCAATAACAAGCATACGAAAGTTATCAACAGCAACGCGATTATATTATATCAACAATAACAAAAAATAATCATATTGCCGTTATATGTTATCAATTGATAACGTCAACTGATATTCAAAAAACAGAAAACAAGCTAGGCAAACAGTTACAACCAAATTACAACCTCAGACCTGTAACTGTAACTCCGAAGATGAACTCTGCAATCAGTTTGAACGATAGTACAAAACTAAAGATTTGTATACATCTGTTAATATTATAAATAATAGGTTTCTTATTCTAAATAACTTATTTTGCTTTAAGAACTTGGAGAGAACTTAAAAAATTAGGTTCATTAATATTTTAAATAAGAACCAGAATAAGAATCTTTATTTCCAAAAAGAACGGAACCTTAAATAATAATATATTGTACCGTCAAGATGTTAGTGTACTTACTCAAAAATTAAAATTAAATAAAAAATTAATTTAAAATAAAGCAATGCCAACTAAAAGTAAATTCTGTCATGTAGAAAAATCTTGAAAAATCGACCAAAATAAACTTGGAGATATGCGGGTTAAATTAAAAAGAATATCAAATAGGAATTCTTTAAAGTTTGTGTTGAAATCCTTGATTAGCATTTATGTGTGGGAGAGAAGTTTTAAGTTGTTTTCTAACAAACGTAACTTTAAATCCAACACGTGAACTTTTATTTGTGTCTATTAAAGAGTAAGTTACAAATTCTTTAATAATTTTGGACATTTCATAAGGTTTTTAGTTCGACTTTCCTGATTATTTTCTTTAACTAACACTCAAGACCAATTTTCTTCAAGTTTAAATACTTGTTAAACTATATTAGTATTAATAAAATGTAATTACTTTTTTTTGACAATAATCTGTTCTGACTTATGTAAAGAAATGAACCTACTAAATCTATATTGTATTATTATTATTATTATTTTATTTTTTAGTATTCTTATGGTTATTTTTATGTTCTTATGGTTCTTAAAAACCAAGAGATAAATTTGCTTTAAATTTTTTATGAAAAAATCAAATAATTATAATTAACGGCTTCATTCATAAAAAGATTGCCATAGGCTGTTAGGAGTTTAGTTGTATTCACAATTAGTACTTAGTTTAAAAGAGAAGTAATTATAGAAATTCAAACACACCTTTTATAAAAACATAAATTTAACATATTTATATCTAATAACAAAAATTCATAATTTTTAACGTTTTGCAATAGATATGAGTCATAAGTATATAAAACCGAATGGATGACGGATTAAAAAAGGAATAATATAGTATGAATATAGTTGTATAGTGAGAAAACATATTAATCGTAATTTGGAAAAAAGACTTAAACAATTATAATGTTTTGCTCAAATGAACAATTAATACTATTTATTCATTTGTTATTGATACAAAGTTAGTTGTCACATTTGGAACTAGGTTAGTTAATGTAATCTAGCTTAATTACAACATTTCGAATAGATACAACAACACATTGAATATTTAATAGTGATCCTGTTTAAATGGCGATAAATTTCTAAGGAGCCTCTGTTGACTCTTAGTAATTCCATCCAACCCATTTATAACAACGAATCCTCAAGATTGTAGACGTTGTAGTTGGTGTATGGATAAAGATTGGTTAAAGGAACGAGTAAAAGAAAATAATGGTCGACACAGGTTTCAAATTATGTGAAAAACTTAGGCAGAAGCCGTGTATTAATCACTATTAATAAATGAAAACTTGTCGGTGAATTACAAAAATTGCATGTAAGCTTATAACAGGTACACACTAGAGTATTATCACACATTAACAATGTGAATAGTTTTCATAATGAGCTATTAATCTAAATAAATCAGCAATAATGTGAATAATAGGAAAGTTAGTAAAGAAGTTCCGGCGACATGGGCGTAGAGAGGGTAGACGATTACTCAGAAACGTCGTGAAGCGAACAGAGCCGTCAAAGAACGATCGACCGTAGTCGGCCTTTTGAAGCCCGGTGGACTTTTTACCCTCGTGACATTAGCAGGAATACCACAAGTGGATACACCGATAGCGAGGCAACTGATTAATGAATGTATCGGGTGTGTGTTCTTTATGTCACAAGAGCTCATAAGCATTGTCAAATCTTACACCAAAATAAAATTCTGTATCGTTGATTGAAAATTGGTTTGCGCTTGGCGCTATACAAAAGTGAAATAGCATTTTAGTTGGAAAAAACTTATTTTGACTTAAATTCAAAATATAGGAACTTTATATTCAATTAAAATTATTCGCAATTCTAATATTATCTGTAACAATTTAAAGGCATCGTAAAATTATAACTTAGAACTTTTTGCTGCCGCTTTGGGTAGTACAAGTACTGTGTAATTATGCTCATAGTACGGTTTCAATTCAAATTATAAATATGAAATGGGTTTGATAATTTTTATACCAGAGAAAAAAAACAATAATGTACTACCAAAGCAATAATTTTCAAGTGATTTGAGTCGTTTTAAATACTAATGAAATAACTTTTTAATTTGATTCAAATCCGTATAAAATACTTTAATATTAAAAATAATTCTATGATTAATAAGTGGATGAATTAAGATGTAAAAAACACATCATAGTAAAACTAACGCA